TTACCAAGATCTTAATACGTTCCATTCCAAATAAAACAAATCCCCATCTGAATAGAGCTATAACATCTACTTCAAGTGATCCTGTTTATTGTAACTAGTTTCTGGTTAGCTTAATGTACAGAGATTGATATGAGTAGTTGGTAAGGTAAAATCAAACTCAAACTAAGGTGAAAGGCTAAAGGCATATTAAATTAGCTGTAGTGGAGTCTCATACATGGGAACTCCAATCAATCAACTGTGGAACACATTTCATTAGGCTGTTTAGATGAGCTCAAGGGCTGGCAGAATTGTGGTGAATCCAGAAAATTATACATTAACAGAAATCCTTGGCTACTGCAATATAGATTTTTCTTTCAGTTTCAAGCAAAATATAGGAACTACCTCAGTTTAATATCCATTTCTTATTCCCAATGCCAATGACATTCTTTATCATATTTATTGTGTGTTGTTTCCATTGTGTGCCATAAGCTTTGAGCGCTAAGTGCTCTGAGAGGCCTGTATCAATATATAAACTATGCTGGAAGACATAATAATTAAATCTCTGTGAAACATATGAAAGAGTAATTTGCACTGGAGTAAAGGTTAGTGTGCACCTTGTAACTCAATGCATCCTGTGTGTTTAAAACCTCTGAATGGGATAAAAAGTGATTGATCGTTCCTGTCAGGAGTCATAAAGTTGGAGGAGCTTGAAACAGAACTTCAAAGAGTTTGTTGACTGACAGCATTTGATTCTTCTTTTGTTTTGATTTTTTGACTTCTGACACTCTAAACCTCTGCTGCACCCCAGAGGAATGCAGTTTCCAAGGGATACCCAGGTTCACAATACACTTGATTGAAAGAATAATCAAGGGCAACGGATGGATTTGAAATAAATTGGGATTGTGTTTTTAATATGAGGTTTACTGGTACATGGACATGCTGTTTCATTTATTAAGCTATTTATACGGAGGCCACGCAGTAGGTGGGCTACCCAAGAGTGCCTTTATATACTTATTCATGGACATAAGCTAATGGCAACTGGTGCACATTCTTCACATAGTTTTCAATCATTAATACTCTTAATATTGTGAGTTTGACTCAGTCATCACTTTGTTACTTTTTTCTCAGAACATTTTATATTGTTGGAAGTAATTCATTATCCCTTCCAGCAATTTGGTGGGAAGGCTCACAATGTATAATTTCCACTCCCAATTGGAATTGAGGAGAGACACACTACTGTTTTTATAAATGTTATTAAAGAACCGGTCATTTGGGCCGCCCAAGAGCTTTTAAAGCTGCTAATTTTGAGTGGTGGCTAAATCGATTCGTACCGGCTGGATTTATACAGTAATGATGTGACTGCATCTATACAGTGACAATCCTACTGCATTTACCTGGAGATGGTCTGAATCAATGATGTGGCAAAATCAACTCCTTAAGATAGGCTCCATTGCAAATCAGCTTGACTCAAGCCTGCTTTATGTTCTCCAAAACACACTCTGGGGTCCACAAGTTTGGATTCTTGACAACCTGCACCTAATTCTCTCCCAGTATTAGGTGAGCAGAATATGTCCCTGCAGAAGAGAGTGCACATTCCATTTCCATGTGTAGGGAAGTTTCTATGTGTAGGTGCCATACATATGTGGAACTCTCAGTTTGGTTTGGATACTCTTAAAAATGGTGATGGGTTTCTACTTGTGTCGACCTAACAAAAAGGTGTTTTGTGATGATTCGGCATGAAAGCGTAGTATAAACCTTCCGAATGGAGAAGCAGTTATTTTTCAGTGTTTGTAGTATCAAGATTTCCTGAAAATGAAGAATTTGTTTAGCTAACTTTATTGATTTTGTACATTCAGAGCTTGAATCTTTGAAATATTTGTTGGGTTGAATACTATAAATCAAATGACCAGCTGTCAGATTGCAATAAACCTATTTTCTCGCTGATTGAATTGTATCTTGTATTTTTCGAAGATGCAATCTTCTGCTTTAAAGATGTTTTTTATCAACCATAAAAGATTTATCATGGTTGAGAAGAACAGTCTAATTTTCATTTTGTAGAGTTACACAGGGTGATAGACTGTTACTTACATATATCATGAAAACAGGCCATTCAGCCCAACTTGTCTGTGCCGACAATTCAATTTTATTTAATTGGGAAGAGTAATGTGTTTCGCACTCTGATAGACCAAGTACACTTAAGCAAAGATTCTGTTACTGAAAATAGAGTGACAAATGTATTACCATAGAAGTAGCATTCGAGGCATTCCTGAAGTTTTCTTAGATTAGTGTCTTAATGATCGCCACAATTAGCTGTTTCCAGCTAACATTCATAGCTTCACATTAAGCTTCCTGTCATGTTTGGTCAGGTGCGTTGTTTGACACAAGCAGGAAAGCCATCATCATTATTAAGAGGGAGAGTTCCACATATAGATGGAGATATCTCTATCTGGAATAGGATGTACACTCTCTACCCTGCTTGCCTAATTCTGAAGTGTTTTAGGTGCAGGTTGGCGAGAGCCAAGGCTTGGGAGTGTGCTGGAGTCCGATCATCTAAAACTGCATAGCTTACTATTGAAAGCACTGTCTTGCAAACTTCCAACTGCTTACCTAGGACCATCATTAGGGCTTTAGTTTGCAGGGTTAACAGGAGGGAAATTGAAAAAATCACTCTTCCCAGTGACTGATCTCCTCCAAGTCCTGCTGATGCACCATCCTGGCTGGTCTGCCATCAGCTGTGCCTTGGAGTACCAGAGCGGACCCATCTTGCTTAGGAACTGGACTACCAAGACCACTATAGAGGGATTGATAAAATTCCAACAAGTGTGTCATCTTGTAACCAACTCAGCTCGAAGAGGACCCTGATTACCCCTCCCCGGTGTAATACACAGAGCGGCAATTAACAGTTTACCAATGATCGGTTGTTTGGTCAGCATGCTCAATAATTACGTTACCCTATATACTATATTGGTACAATTATAAAGCCCAAGATTGTTCCTGGAATTTTGTTTCAAAGTGTAAGAGAAGCACTGACTTTCTGCCCTCTCAGACTCCAGCCTGACTAATAGCCTTTCAAATTAGCAGTCACCCTCAGTTGTTAGCTTTACGAATTCCCGCTGCAGCTCTGGTGCCAGTTCCAGGTTCCTAAGTACAATGCACAATTATTTTTGGTGGTTTTTCCCCTGAAAGGCTAGAGTGGTGGTTTTACAAGAAATAATTTGGAACTATTCTCTTCACTTTTAATTCACCACAAAATGTAATTAGATCATTGTTTCATAAAGCAGAAAAGCCATTCTGTCATTTAATTACTGCCAGGATGCTTAAATGCCGTCTTCTGCTTAGAAGCCAATGTTTTCCAATTCAAAGTATTCTGTAGAATGTTCAAGATTTTGCATCTTTCAAAAAGCTCTTTAATGAGGCTTTGCATTTTAATGTGCAGCAATAGTTCCCAATTACTGAGATTTAACAAGCTTAAGAAAGGATCTTCCAAATATTGCAATTTATTTTACACTCTAAATGCTCTCTCTGGAAAGACACTATTACATTGCGCTCTCATCACTCTTACGACTGATAAATGGTAATTGAGGCAGTAGGTTAAACTTGAAACATTTGTACAGATATGTAATTGAAGCTTTGCTAGTGTTCAGAAGCTTCTTTTATATTTTTCAGCCGACTCCCATTTTCTGATTTAATTTCCCCCAAAACTAAACTATTCAGATATCTCATTGCCGCTTGTCCTGCACTTCAGATGCGGAAAGAAAATCTTTGGAGATATTGTTCAGAAAATGTAATCAATCACCTCCCTGACCCATAATGCTATTGTAATCTTTTCCTAGACCCATATCTGTAAAATGCGGCATTGGTTCCATATAAACATTTTAAGAAACTGCTTTCTTTAAAGGACAAATGTGTGGTTTAAGGATATAATGGAGACTTTCTTCCTATTATTTGCCAATGCTGCTTCTACCCCATTCAGACATCAGCCCAAAGTCACTCTGACTCTTTCACTCCCTCCCCTCGTTCAAGGCACCCCTCAAAATGTGCGTTTTTGACCACATTTTTGGTCATCATTGCCCTCTCCATCCCCTCGGCTTCACCCTCTGCCCCCATCCCCCACAGCTTGCATGCCCAGAAAATATTTATTGTCAGGAACTTTAAAACATCCTCCTGATGTTGAAGGGCTTAATAGTGGTGGAGCCTGATGCCGAGCCAGAGGGAGTAAGCAAAGAGGAAGGTTTTCAGGCGTGATCTGAAAAAAGGGAAAAGGAGAGGGCAAGGTAGAGGGTTTGAGGGAAAGTGTTCCAAAGTTTCAGGGCTTGTAAATGTAAATTGTAATTGTAATTCAATGTAGTTGGGGTTAGCACTCCGATTATTTATGGCTACAGATTCCTGATAATTGGGAGGTATGCTGAAAATGTGAGATAGAACAAGGACCAAGGAATATTCTGCGCTGACACCTGTCTTTTTAAAATACAATAATAACAACTTGTGTTCACATAGCTAGCGCCTTTCATGTAGGATTCATCTCAGAGCACTGCAAAATACCTTCTTGAACCATCTGCTGAGAGGTGAGACTTTCTGCTGTTGTCTCCACATCCAAAGTGTCTTGATTGTGAACTTCCAGCCTCCTCAAGTTTTGGTGCTGTATTTTACTTAGTGTGGAGTAACCCATCCCCGATCTGTTTTTATTTATTGTGGATTGTATATATTGTGTATTTTTTCCAATGTCTCACGCCTATGTGATCCGTTTCAAACTGAATTAAATTGAAGCCTTACTGGGAGTTATTCTGCTCCATTTCATAAAGTGCACAAATCTTTGGATTTGTGCAAAATCCAACATCAAAAGATTTGATAGAACAAACAGATATAAAATCGAGATAACGACAAAGATTTTTAATGATGTTATTATGGCACTGTGTGTGTGTGTGTTCTTTGTTCAAGCCCTGTTGATGTGATTCTGGAATTAATGAATGCTCTTGTTTGACCTTCAGGGATTCATGTGAAATTTTCTTATTGTCTTACAGCAGCAAGAACAGGACCCAACAAACCTGTACATCTCAAATTTGCCTATTTCCATGGACGAGCAGGAACTGGAGAACATGCTGAAACCCTTTGGCCATGTGATCTCCACAAGGATATTAAGAGATGCGAATGGTGTAAGCCGAGGGGTGGGATTTGCCAGGTGAGGGACATTGGCCTTTTCGTTTGTGAAGTAATTTTAACAGATAAAGGATTCAACAAACAGACACGCTCATGCATAAAAAAAGATTAACAGTTATTGATATGTTCCCCGTCAGCTGCTACATTGATGCTCTCCTTCCCACCTAAAGGGCATCACTGCTGCAGCACTGAGCTGATACACTTCAGTTAGTATTATAATGAGATGGAAAGAGTCATTTGAAACATTTATTGATTTGTTCTATTGCTGGAAGGGTTGCAGCTACTATACAATGGCACCTCGCATATATCAAGGCTTGAGCATTCATGTTAGTCCAGGCACTGGACCTGAAGTTACATGGACTTATAGACTTAAAATGAGAATGGGATGGATTCCTGAAATTGAGCCCCTCTCCACCCCCATCAGGTAAAGACAAGGACACATTTACCTTTAAATTGCAGGTTGTGCTAAACATATGTAAATGCACGTGTAAAGAGGGAATTGCTAGTACTGTAATTATGATATTAAAAATGAGTATAAAGAATAACAGAATTGTTGGGTCGTTAATTATATAATTACGGGCAAGTTTAAATTTGTAATGCATAGAACTTGTAAAAATTTACAAAACAGAAGGCCATTTGATCTAGCATTCCCATGCTGTCTCTTTGAAAGAGCAATTCATTCAGTCCCATTTACTTGCCTTTTCCCTCAAACCATACAAATTATTCCTTTTTAGTTATCTATCCTGTTCCCTCTTGATACTAATACAATTTCTGCCTTGACCACCACAAGTGGCAGGGCATTCCCCATTCTAACAACTCGCCATGTAAACAAAATTCCTCCAAATCTCCTGCTTTGCTCCCTTGGTGATTATCTTAAATTGATGGCCTCTAGTCACTAACTCACATGGTTAGCACAAATCAAACCTCATGTGGAGTCCCGTAGCTCAGTGGTTAGAGCACTCGCCTCGCAAGCGAGAGACCTGGGTTCGATTCCCGACAAGGTGAAACTTTTGGCAAGTTTCTTTACTCCACATGCCTGATAATAATCCATCAAGAAAAAAAACAATAAATTGGTCACTTCAACCCTCAACTGTTTGTGGGATACTGTTATGCGCAATTGGCTGCCGCATTTCGCCCACAAATATAGTCAATTCACTTTACAGTATATTCTGTGAAGCGCTTTGAGACGTTTAGAAGATGTGAAAAGCGCTAAATCAAATGCAAATATTCTTATTATTATTGTTGTGTCCAATGGACCACTGTTGCTCAGACATATACTGTACTCTGGAAACATGAAATGTATGCCCTTTAATTTTACAAGAACACTACTTGAAATTCAATGCTATTTAAAACTAAGCCCTCCTAAAGTTGCCCTGGTAATGGAATCTTTATGGTGGGCATTAAAGAGAAGCACATACTCAAAAGGAATTTTGCAGCTCTACATTTGTGGAATATAGTATTTATAAACAAACTCATCTTGTCAAACCTAATGTTGTTAAAGTGAAATAAATTGTGGAGTCCTGTAGCTCAGTGGTTAGAGCACTCGCTTTGCAAGCGAGAGACCTGAGTTCAATTCCAGGCAGGGCGAAACCTTGGGCAAGTTTCCTTACTCCACACGCCTAATAATAATCCCTCCAAAACCAAAAACAATAATAAATTGGTCATTTTCAATCTACGACTGTTTGTGGGACATTGCTGTGCGCAATTGGCTGTCGGGTTCGCCCACATATATACAGTCAATTCATTTTACAGTGTGTTCTGTGAAGCGCTTTGGGACGTCCTCCCGACGTGAAAAGCGCTATATCAAATGCAAGGATTATTATTATTATAAAGGATACATTTTGGGTCATTGTGCCTACACTTAAATGGTAGAGGTTAGAGCAGTCGCCTCACAAGCAATAGTAACCCGGGTTTGATTCCCGGACAAGGCAAAATCCTAGGCAAGTTTCCTCACTCCACCTGTCTCTGTTTACCTTGTGTTAAGTATATATTAATATATTTTACAATATATTCTGTGAAGCGCTTTGAGGTGTCTCAACGATAAGGCACTATATCAAATGCAAAGATTATTATTATTAAATTGGCTATCTTTGAAATTTCAGTTCTTCTCTCCAACTGTCCCCAACACAAGAATTATAAATTTAAGAAATAGATAATGCTTGTTCCTAATATTTTCAATAATTTTACCCACCACATTAAAGTGTTTTTGCACTAAAAACACTTTAATGGGGTGGACACAGTCTGCAAGGCGTCAATTACACCACTGTTGCATATGTAGCATCTTTGTATGAAGGTGTAGACCATTTATGCAGGAGCCCTGTTCACGTCTGAGCCACCAAATACATTGATTGGTCTATCACTAATATGGCTTTTCTATGTCAAAGAGCAACACCTGTGTGATTAATGAATCGTGTGCATCTTTAACTTTCATCATCAATGTATTTTGCAATCCTGCCTATTCCTTTTTTAAGTGTCACATACTATGGTGGGAAGGATGCCAAATGGCATCTTTGTTAATGAATGAATTACATTTTTCTTATATTACATGATGTTTCTTCATCAGACTTGCCTTATTGCTTGTAGATAGAATAGTGCTAAGGTGATTGTCTGCTTGTCAGTAAAGCTACAAATCCTATGGGATGATCTTGTAATCTTATTATATTTTAAGCACCTGACTGAACATCAGTAAATACAGAGGAACCTCATTATAATCGGCTCATTTGGCTCCAGGAGCTCAGAAGCCATGTTACAAGCAAAGTATAAAACAAGGTGGCTAACTTCCAAGTTGTCCTATCACCTTCAGAAATTACATCAATGCACTTCCTGTGTTTCGTGCACATAATAATAATAACAAAAATAATCCTTGCATTTGATATAGCATCTTATCACATCATTGAAACACGGCAGCCAATTGCGCACAGCGATGACCCATAAACAGTCGTGGATTGAGTTACCAAATTATTATAATTCGTAATATTTAAATTGCAGGAGTGTTAAGCAAGTTTCTTTACTCCACATGACTCTGTTTACCCAGCAGGAAGTAGAAACCCGGTTGTTAGCCGATTGGAGGTCGCTTTTCTGGGGGTAGTAATTCCTCTAAAAAAATTATAATTTGATCACTCAATTGGCTGCCGCGTTTTGCCCACAAAATATACAGTCAATTCACTTTGCAGTATATTTTGTGAAGTGGTTTGAGATGTCTCAAAGACGTGATACAGCGCTATATCAATTGCAAGGATTATTATTATTAGAACTCAGTACAACAACAACAGCACCCTTTAAATGCGGGTTTTGAATTTTCTCTTTGAGTCTTTGACCTTGTCACAAACTTAGGTCTCGAGATACAGACCCAAAATACTGCTTTAGTTTTCGGAAGCCTGTAGCAGGCAATATTAACGCTTTCAGGATTTCATAGTACTTTTAAAGCTAATTGTTCTAATCAGTTTAGGAGTCACTGCAGTTACTGATGGCTGACCTTGTTGGAGATGCGATGTGATGATTTAATAGAAAGAACCATAAGTAGTAAAAAGTTACACCCTTGCAGAATTGTATCAGCAGCGATTGCACCAGTTTCAGATGATCTGACTACGGTACTTGGTACTGAACCCAGACTCAATTTCCTTCATTTCATCAAACTTGTCAGTTTGGAACATACAATCAATCACCAGGCTCCAGATACAGTCAAGCTGCTGATGTAGCAAAAACTGTTATGGACAATCGAGATTTCACTAGACAAAATATCCGACTGTATTTAGAACACAGACTGATAGGACCGAGCAAAAGATCTCCTGTATTTCCCGCTTTCTATAACATTCAGTTGAAAAGATGTCCGTCAACCTGCCCAGTTATGTAATGGCTGGCTCCCATGAATTTCAGGCACACAGAGGATGAAAGGTCCACTTGTGGTAACTGAAAACCACGTGAAGAGAGAAACGTAAACAGCTTTCCATTCTCCTTGCTGGCTGCTCGGTCAGGGATGATAAATTTTCACTTGATTTCCAGCCAAGCGTGTGCCAGATTACTGATAACGTGTGCTAGAGTTTCACATCAGCTAATTGAGAAACTCTAGTAGAAAATGAGCACATTCTTTACACAGCTGCAATTCACTGAGCACAGATCATCCCTTAACAGGCAGTTTGTTAGAAGAGCTTATGTGGGCTAAATCTTTCTTAAACGTTTGTCAGACATTAATTGCAATGGATGATTCTTTTTCCTGCTACACCTCAGTTCACAATATCCTGACAGCAAGTAGCTAACATTTTTAAAAAGGGTCACATTTTTTCAGGTTTATTTTTTCCCCATGCAACTCTCCAATTCTGCTTCATCCCATCACTCCTCTTTGGGCCACAATCCTAGAAAGTGATGGGACAGGCTCGATGGGCTGAATGGCCTACTCCTGTTCCTATATTCCTATGTTTCTTTGTTCTTTCAAATGAAAGGACTGGAGACCTGGCAATCAGCTCCAATGAATAATATTGACATGTACAAGCTTCCATAATACAATTGGCCTTTCCAGTTATTAATTGTAACCAAAAATGAGATTATGACGTTGACTGATTTTCCTATGCGACGAACTGGCGTTCCTATGACACTGATTGCCATTGCCTTGATACTAACTGGCATTTCTGTGACACTGACTGGAATTTCTGTGATACTGACAGGCTTTCCCTTGACACTGACTACCAATTTATGTCAGTGACTGATATTCCTGTGTCATGACTGGTGTTCTTGTAACATTGACTAACGTGGCTATGACATTCAATGCTATTCATGTAATCCACATAATCATTATGTCCAGGCTAGATCCCTTCGGCTCACCCTTTCCCTGGCCTCCTTCAAGGTCCAACTCAAGACCTTCCTCTTTGACCACACTTCCAGCTATCTTTCCCCCATTACCCACTTGCCCCCCATCCCAGCTCAGGTGCAATCGTTGGACTATCCAGCGCCTTGGAAAATCCTCCTGATGTAAAATGCGTAATATAAATATAAATTCCTGTGACACTGACTGACATTCCTATTGGCAGTGACTGGTGTTCTTGTGACTGATGTTAATACTACAGCCCTTGTCTACCCAGTCTTCTTAACTCAAAGATGGCACTTGTTCCTGAAAAATGTTAATTTTGCACTAAGATGCTCTAGTTAAGTGCTCACAAACAGTTGTACTTTATTCACATTCCCAATAATTTAAAGATTTTCGATTCTTCTCTTCTTTTTGTATTTAAATTTTTTCATTCTTCATCTGTCTTTGATACTTACTTTCAAGCCTGTTTTTTCTCTAATCTCATTCCAATGCATCAATGCCTTTTTGAATGTAGGGTGCCAAAAATTGGTTATGATAGTTTTAATCTGACCCCAATAGTGATCCATGTAATGTTAAAACTTATTTTGACAAAATTTCATTCTCCCAATATGCAGCCTAATACTTGGCTGGTCTTTCTTAATGAAACAATAGCAACTTGCATGTATATAGTGCCCTTCACGCAGTATAGGGTCTCAGAATGCTGCACAACAGTGGGGTAGGTCGCTGAGCAAGGGAGAAGAGGGGAGGTGACCATAGACATGGTTTTTAAGTAGGATTTAAAGATAGATAAAGAGGGCGAGATTGAGGCAGGGAGATCTGAGGCTAGGGGTGTAGTGGCCAATGGTGGTGCAGAGGGGTCAGGAGACACAGGCCTGGATGAAAGTTTAAAATTGACTGGATACTGTACTTTCAATGAATTGTCAGTAATCACAACCAAATCCTTTTCTTTTGAAGTCTTTGCTAACGACATCAATTCATTAGGTATAAATCCCTTGTGTGTGAAGTGGGATGGACTGGAGTTGCCGGGTTGGGGAAGGTACTCCATCAGAGGCAACCTGCTTCAACCTGGAGTCCTTCAGCTCAGTGGTTAGAGCACTCGCTTTGCAAGTGAGAGACCTGAGTTCAATTCCAGGCAGAGGGTGAAACCTTGGGCAAGTTTCCTTACTTCACATGCCTAATAATAATCCCTCCAAAACCAAAAACAATAATAAATTGGTCATTTCAATCCATGACTGTTTGTGGGACATTGCTGTGCGCAATTGGCTGCCGCGTTCGCCCACAAATATACAGTCAATTCACTTTACAGTATATTCTGTGAAGCACTTTGGGACGTCCTCCCGACATGAAAAGCGCTATATCAAATGCAAGGATTATTATTATTATTTAGTTTCATGGATTTCATAGGAATTTAGCAACAAGATGTCAATGGGCCTATTGACCCTGTTCCGCTGGTAGCGAATTCCATAGACGAATGCACTTCTACCTCTCCTAATCCCACTTCCCTGATTTCTCACTACAATAATAAAAACAATAATAATAATAATCCTTGCATTTGATATAGCGCTTTTCACGTCGGGAGGGTATCTCAAAACACTTCAGAGGATGTCCTGTAATGAGTGAATTTTGTAGGTGAACATGGCAGCCAGTTTGTGCACAGCAATGTCCCACAAATAGCTGTGACCAATTTTATTTTGGGGGAATTGTTGGCCAAGGAATCAAGAGAAATTCCCTTCTCTTTTCGAGACGTGCCATGGGATCTTAAACATTCACCTGAATAGGCAGATATGACCTGAGTTTAACATGTCATCTAAAGGACAGCACCTCCAATAATGCAGCACACCCCCAGCACTGTATATGACTTCAAAAGCCAGGCATGTGGCCTAAACCTAGAATCTTCAGACTCAGAGGAGAGAGTGCTACCAACTGAGCTAGGCTGCCACACCTTGAACATTTCTAACTTCTGATTCCCAAGTATCTATCTGTACTTATAACAGAGTGACTTTGGTTGTGATTGCAGAGCTAGGACAGAACACGCTTCTTGATTGTCTGTCATCAAGAACCTCACCTATCTGTAGCTTCAACATGAAAGGCGTTGTCAAATATCAGTCAATCAGTATGAAAGAGAGAGTGTACAAAGGAAAGTGCAATGTGTTTGTGTCACAACTGTCGGGCAATGTATTACATGGTTCTGACATAATTCCTGTCTCTTGTCTACCTAGAATGGAGTCCACTGAGAAATGTGAAGTAGTAATTCAGCATTTTAATGGGAAATATCTGAAAATGCCACCAGGCGTACCAGGTAAGAGCCTTTCTTTCTTTTGTTAATATGGTAGAACCTCATGTGTTTACACTTCAGAAATTATGCTTTTCTGAAAGTTTTGTAGCTCTTTCAGATGGAAATTAGCTGGAGATTATGTTCACTGGATAATTTCTGGCATTTACTAAATAGGATTTTATAGTAATAATAATGCTTGCATTTTATATAGCGCTTTTCACGTCTTCTGGACGTCTCAAAGCGTTTCACAGAATAGACTTTATTTTTTCACTGTTCAAACCATTTCTTCACAATTCTTGCATTTTACTTCAACCTATGGTACCTCCTAATAACAGCAGAATAGTCTAGTTTGTTGCCCTCCTTAAACAGCCAGAGTCCTCTGTATCTGAGTTCATGCAAGAAACATATAGAGGAGGGAGGGAGAGAGGGAGTGACTGTAACATGAAAATCTTATCAAGGGTTTCAAGTAACATTATTTTTAATGTGGACAAAACGTCAACAACACAAGGTTGTGGTCTCAAACTCAGAAAGAGGAGGCTGAATAGACAGTTTAGATTTAATGACTTCATACAGAGAATAATGAACAGTTTGCCAGTGGAAACGGACAGTTTTAAGAGTGAATTTGGTCATGTTAAAACATGGAAGGAGATTGGGGGATTGTGAGTAAAATGAAATTATATTTGAAAATGGGACAGGCCAGATGGTCTGCATGGTGTTTCCTAATCCTGTAAATTGCTTGTGTTCCTATAAACTGCATAATTTAATTTGAGTGTTTTTGGGGTCTTGCGAAGCACAGTATAGATTATTTTTATTGTAATCGCTGCTGACACCACCAACAGTTCATGCAATAAGACACAGCAGGGTTATATTTAACTGTAAGGATCTCTGACCTCTTGTTGCTGGGTGTAAGACGATTGCTTTTAAGCGAGGCTGGCGTTGTAGGCAAGGACGGTTTTCTCAGTTGATGCTTGATGACCTACTCAGCAAAAGGTTACATTTCAAAGTCCTCCCTGTGGTATTGCAGGACTGCGGGAACTGCAGGTTTTCCAAAGTTTCATTCAACACAACTTGTATTTGTACAGTGCCCTTCACCTAAAATAATGTTTCAGAACACTTTACTGTGATAGTGACAGCCCCTAAAGTAGGGGAAAGTAGGAGGTGACCCAATAACAACAAATTACATTTGTATAGCGCCTTTCACATCGGGAGGACTTCCAAGGTGCTGGACAGTCAGGGATTTGGACCCAAGAAGGAGATTGGGATCAGGAGGGAGGGAGGGTAGGGGTAGGAGGGTGGCCGAAGGTGTAGTCAAAGAGGAGGGTCTTGAGACGTGTCTTAAAGGAGGCAAGCGTCGGAATAAAGCAAAGGGACTGTGGGATGGAGTTCCAAAGGAAGGGGTCAATGAGGCTGAAGGCCCAGCTGCCAGTGGGGGTGGGGGAAGGCAGGGGATATGGAGCCTGCTGAGCGGAGGGAGCGGTTGAAATGGGGTTAGCGGGTCGCAGAGGTAGGAAGGAGCAAGGCCTTGGAGGGCTTTGAAGGTGAGGGTGAGGATTTTGAACTCTATCCTCTAGGGGATGTGGAGCTAGTGGAACCGGGCAAGGGTGGGTGTGGTAGGGTCATTGAGCTTGGTGCGGGAGAGGAAACGAGCTGCAGAGTTCTGGATGATCTGCAGCTTATAGAGGAAAGAATTGGGAAGGCCGACAACAGAGAGTTGGCTTAGTCAAGCCTAGATGTAATAAATATAGGTGCTGTCAAAGTGCCAGGTTTCAAGGTGGGACTTGAAACTGGATCGATGTGGGTGAGATACAGGCATAGAGGGAGATACAGGGGTAGAGGGAGGGAGTTCAAAAGAAATGGTCGTAGATTTCGAAAGCTTGGATAACAATGGTGGCACAAGTAGAGCAGGAGATGCAATTGCAAGCAATTAAGCAACCTCATGACCAGTGCTACTTATAAATCTTGGAATACTGGAGTACCAAAGATGTTCATATTACGTTTAACACTGCTTTTCTGGGAGGGTGGGTGGGGGTACACTTTCTAGGCATAGGAGCAAAGTTGAGCACAATTCTTGTAAGTTCCTTGGCTAAGCAAGATGAAAAATGAGGCTGTATCATTGACCCTTTATTCAGGAGTTTTCAAATTTAAACTTGCAGTATTAGGCAATGCTTATGTGCACAGACTCATAAGTCATCATGCAATGTTCTGCTGGCCTCCACTGTTTCAACCCGGACAAAAATAAATATCAACCCTGTCACATTTACCAGTGAAGGATTTTGGGTCTGTGTGTGAGACTTTAATATACTCTGACCATCCCCTGAATCATCCTAGTAATACTGCAGCTATCATTGTGAGTACCAAATTGCTGAGGTTCCTGAGCACATGACTTGTCAGATAGATACGAGCTGAGGGCATAGGACTGCAAAGCTATGCAAAATATTAACACGGATCAAAATCACCAGTAACTGCACACCTATTTGCACTGATAAAAAGGGGGACTATTGCACAGGATGGAATGTAAATTGTTGTTTTAGTATCAGTATGAATTAGTGGCCATTTGAATAAAGGTTACCGCTGCGCACTGCCAATACTTTATACTTACAAGAGAAATGGAAACATAATAGTCTTCACATCTGATAGAATGCTGTTCACGTGAAGAGGACATCTCAAAAGTGATTTACTGTGAATTGGAGTGACTGGGTTTGTAGGTGAATGCAGCAGCCCACTAATGCACAGGTATGACTTATAAACAACCATGAGGTGAATGACCAATTTTATTTGGGGGATTGTTGGCCAGGACACTGGGAGAAACTCCCTGCTCTTTTTGAAATGTGCCATTTATATAGCGCCCTTCACGTATGGTAGCAGCCCGAAGCGCTTAACTTCAAGCACAAATGGCCCTCTACTTAACATCTCCAAAGGGTGGGCACCTCCGACAATGCAGCACCTCCCAGGCACTGCATTGGAGTTTCAGCTTAGAGGATGTGAATTCCAAGCCTTGTGGAGCCAGATTGACACACGATCTTATCTTCAAAACCCTCAACCATTTTTCCCATTAGAGAACACAAAATTTCTTGCTGAAGGAGAGCTAGCACACCCACATACTATCACCAATATCAATAAAATATACACCAAGTACAGAAAGTGAATTTTTCAGCTGTGTGCAACTGGACACAACCACTAGCTCTTTCATACAGCATGGCTAATGCATGAAAAGTTGTAAATCTACTGATATAACAGTAGTTTAACATCTGGAAGCATATAGCTAGCACATAGCAAATATCGTTGGTTAAGTGGTCCATTGGTCTAATAAAATCCAAGCTGTCGATTTTAGTCGGGTTCAAGACCCAGACCCACTTAATCCTTCCAGCCCTGTGGCACCTCTTTGGTTACAATGTTATGACAGCTTTAGCTGGTAATTATAAACAGACTGGTGTAATATAAGCTGCTTCAGGGGCAGACAGACTTCAAAACTGAATGAATATGGGGCAGTTCCTCCCCATACTATTGTAAACAGGTCCTGTGGAGCAGCTTCCCTATTTGTGTTAGCTGCAGCAATCAGCATTCAAAAGGTACAATTACAAGGGTAGACACTGATAGTTTGAGTCTTGCTTTTACGCAGCTAATAGTTACTGTGAAAGCACTCAGACAGGGCTTCTTTTGTAAGTCTGCAATAGACTGTTTGTTAAAACATTAAAGACTACAAAGGATGCTTTCAAACATCCTCCAGACTTCCCATAAATACTGTAATAATCAGAGGTGGTACAGAGGAGTAAAACTCTTCAAAACAAAACATTGCGTGGAAGCGCACTTTTGATTAATGCAAATCACATACTTGTCTATCAGGGCTAGGGGGACTTGCCTGGATTTCTATGGCTTCAAATTCCACCTCCTCTTACCCTGTGAGACTATTTTGTCTTAAAATGTAAGATCGCACAGACTTATGGAGAATTCAGTTTTAATTTGTAAGCCAGTTTTTCATAATAACTATGTTAATCAGCTTCAAAATGAAGAGTGAATTTAAAGATTTTCCACAGGTCTGTCCAATTTTAAGACAAATTAGATCAGCTAGATCTCATGGATGGTGGAACGAGTGAGAGCAACATTTAGAGCTAAGTCAAAGCAGCAGAACAAAAGAGAGCACAGCACGGGTTCAAGTTTGAGTATGCAATTTTAAAGTGCACACCAGGAAGTATTTCTATACACAGAACAGCTGGAGTGGGTTACAAGGAAGAGTGTTAGAGGCCAGAACACTGGATTCATTCCAGACACAGTATGGTGGGGATAATGGGAAGAAGGATGGCCATTCTGAAGGATGAGATAAAATGGGGCATTCTTCATCTTGTGAACTTGTGATTAGGAGATCTCTGGGATGTTACACTGATGTTGTAAACCACTCGGAAGCTTTTCTGTTTAGATCTGTACTTTGGAAGACAGTGAAGAATGACATTACGGCAGTCACAGTGCGATAGGAGTTTGCTGCATTGTGACTTGCGTATGTTTTTCAGGAAGAGAGCAAATGCTGCTGGGCTGTCAATCAGAACTTCATTTTCGATTTTCATTGTTAAACATGTGAGCAGTGTGTTAGGAATGAAACGAGAAGGTCAAAAAAAAACTATCGGATGGAAATGAAAGTATTCCCTTGAGTGACACGTTCTCAGGGGTGAAAGTATCAAATGATGACACGGCCTACATTTTATTGTGCATTTATACATTTACAGTGCGTTCTTCAAAACTAATGAATAGTATGTAATGGAAATTAAGTCAAAATCCTGCTCGCTTATAAGGGAGAGAAAGACAGCATGTGATATTACACTAAGTGACTGCTGGAAAAGAAGCTAATACAATCTCTGAATATTGAAGGAAGATGCAGTGTTCCTTCACTGCAGGTTAGAAGCAATCACTGCTCTGAGTGGAACTGGAGCTTAGTTCCAATAACAATTGCACCTGCTTCACTAGCAGTCAGCACCTTCGGGAGTGAAGGGGAGAAGTATTCTTCATTCTGAGTACTTTTTTCAAAGGTATTT